CGGGCCTCGGTCCTTTTCCTGACACATGTTGCAGCCTTGCACGTAGCGATGGCAGGTGGCATACATGTGCTTGAAGAAGTAACGCGTCCTCAGTTTATCGAGAGTTTTCTTTGTCTTGAGATGGCCAGCGTGGGCATCTTGGACAGCCTTCTTGATCAGCGCCTGAGGAAGTACGATCTTGTAAGATGTTTCTCCGGATACGTCCTGCGTGACTTCTTCCAACACTCCATCGGGTGCTATTCGGAAGACGTGGTCTCGATGCCAGGCCTTGTTTGGTCCGTCGGGCTCGAGACTTTGCATCAGATGCCGACAGTCTTCATCGTGCTTTTGGGCCTCCTGTAGAGCCCTTCGCCCTCGTACCTCCTGTTTTTCTTTACTTCCGAATCCCGGTGACGGTGTGGTGCACGCTGCTCCTGTGTTTCCTGGTTGGGCTCGGGGGTCCTGTCTGCCTTGACAGTTTTGGTCCTCTCTTTCTGCCTCGGGAGTGAGTTGTCGCACCACGCAGACACCTGAGCGACTCGCCTCCAGCTCGCGTCCCGGTGGTCTGGCTATGTCGTCGTCCAGATCCAAATCCTTGGCCTCGAGCCCGTCCTTGGAACCGAAGTGGTCGTAGATGCGTGAGAGGAAGTCGGCGTTGCGGTGTTGTCTCCCTGGTTTGTGTACGATTTCGAGATCGTACTCCTGCAGGGCCATCCGCCAGCGTTGCAGTCTGGGATTGGCATTGGGTAGTTCCAGGAGCCACTGAAGCGCCCAGTGATCAGTGATGACCGTTGTAGTCCTTCCTATGATGTAATCCCGAAAGTACCGCGTTGCCCATACCAGCGCCAGACACTCCGACTCGCAGGCGGAGTACTTCCTTTCCAGAGGTCCCGTCTTCTTCGAGGCGTAGGCGATGACCCGCTCCTTGCCGTCCTCTTGGCGTTGTGCTAGCACTGCGCCTAATCCTGAGGCGCTTCCGTCGGTGAGCAGCATGAAGGATTTCGTGAAGTCCGGTAGAGCCAGTACTGGCTCGCTGGTGAGCACAGTCTTCAGGTCTTCAAAGGCAGCTTGCTGCTCTGGTCCCCATTCGAATTTCACCTTCTTCTTGGTCAGCTCGGTGAGGGGACTCGCCCTCTTGCTGAAGTCCTGGACAAAGCTTCGATAGTACGAAGCTAAGCCCACCAAAGCTCTGACCCCGGCCACGTCTGTTGGTGGTTCCAGGTTTCGCACCTTCTCCACATTGCTTGGGTCTGGCCGAATCTCTCCTGGTGAGAGAAGGTGACCCAAGTACTTCACCTCTTGCTTTGCGAAAGAGCATTTTGCTGGTTTCAGTTTCAACCCCGCTTCTTCAAGCCTCTGGAAGATGAGCTTCAGATGTTCCAGGTGCTCTTCGAATGTCTTGGAGAAGCAGATGATGTCATCGATGAATACATGACAGAACTTGCCGATGTAGCCCGACAGCACATGTGACATGAGTCGCTGGTACGTTGCAGGGCTGTTGCGCAATCCGAAGGCCATGACCTTCCATTGCCATAGGCCGAGGTGGCAGCGGAATGCCGTCTTATGCCGATCCTCTTCTGCCATTCTCACTTGCCAGTATCCTTGCTGACAGTCCAAGCAACTGAAGATTTCTGCTCCTCCCATGGTATCGAAAATTTCGCTCTTCGTAAGCGGCAAGGGATAGTTGTCCGGCTTGGTGATCTTGTTCAGGCCCCGGTAGTCGACACAGAAGCGTGTTTCACCATTTTTCTTTGGTACTAGTACCACTCCTGCTGCATATGCTGACACTGATGGCTCGATGAGGTCCTTGTCCAACATCTCTCTGATTTCCTTTTCGATGATTTCCCTGTCTTGATGGCTGGCCTTGTATCCTGCTCTGCGGACCGGATCCTTTGTTGTGAGCTCGATGTGGTGTTCCAAGAGTGTACATGTGCCGAGGCTACCGTCCCACGAGAAACAGCTGTCATGAGTTCCAATCAGCGAGAGTAAAGCCGTGCGCTGCTCCTCCGCCAGACAGCCCGTGTCGATGTCTTCAATGTTCCAGACCGTTTTATTGCCCTGTTGTGATGGCTGGTGCTCCTGGTTTTGTCGTTCTCGCTGTCCGCTGCTGGTCACGTCATGATCTGCAGGGGACCTTTCCTGTGGCTCCTCTTTTCTTCTTGTAGGCTTGGGGTCAGACTGAGTCCTGACCTCCATCGTCCGTTTGGCTCCGTTCAGTGGCACCTGGCTTGAGTACGGGCTGTAGATTGTCTGTCGTTTGCCGTCAATCATGATGTCGTTTCCGGTGATGAAATCGTACCCAATGAATGCCTGATGAGTCAGTTGTGGGCTCACATAGGCCCAGTGTCCAATCAGCTGACCTCCTACATTGAAGTTGACCAGTGCTTCGTGAGTTACCAAGATGTCATGTCCCGTTGCTGACTTCAAACGAGATGAGGGTGGCCGTGTGTGCCTGATATCCGCATCCTTGACTGCGTTTTCATGCACCAGGGTGACGCTGGAGCCCGTGTCGATCAGTACTTCTGCCATCTGACCTGCGATCCCGATGTAGCATGTGCATACTACCGCGTCAGCTGCGGGTGTCCCTTGCTCGGGTTCGTGATTCTCCTTTGGTGGTGGGATTTGATTGATGTACTTGCTTGAGCAGTCTGCAGAGGGACTCTTGGGACGATCCGTCGGCTGGCCCCCTAGTGCAACCGACGAGGGCCGTTTCCCGAGGGTCTGGGCGCGACCGGGCAGTAGCGTCTAAGGTGACCTGTCTGATGGCAGGCGAAGCACAGTCCATTTTCGTAGAGTCGGCGTGTCTCTTCGTCCGTGAAGTATAACATCGATCGTCCTTGCGAAGGTTCATTGATCTTCATGCTGCGACCCATGTCTGACCGCGGTCGTAGCCCGCCGTTCGGGAGTGGTAGTTGTTGGCTGTACGTACTTCCATTGCGGCCGTTGTACGCATAGCTAGGCGGTGCCGGTGACCTGAAACGGACTGTTCGCTGGGAGGGAGCTCCCTGTCCTTGGCGAGGGGTTTCGGTTGCCGTGGCGCCCTGCTCACTTCGTTTGGCTGCTTCACGTTCTTCCAGAGCGTTGACGATGCTGTTCACCAGTGGCGTTGATGCCTGACTTCCATAGCCGCCTCGGAAACAGCTCAGAACTTCCTCTTCCTTATGGGCCAGTTCAATTGCTTCCTCCTCTGTTGCGGCTGCTACGGCTTCCTCGAATGTCTGGCAGTTCTTTCTCCATACGACTTGGCGGAGATCACTTCTGAGCCCTCGAATGAAGTTTGTTTTCCGCATAAAACTCAATATGGCTTTAGTAGACTCACTGTTGATGGTCTGTTCCTCTCCCTCGGCATCGTCTTGTCCAGCCCCGGCAGTATTTGCTCGTTCCATCTTCACCCCACTTGCCCCAACGGCTTGTAGAGATAGTTTCCGAACAATTTGCGCCCATTCTTGGACTGTTTTGTTGCCTTGCGTTCCAGTGTTTAATAAATGCTGATATAGCTGCTCCTTTCCATTTGTTTCAAACCTCCTTTTCAGTGCTTTCTTCGTGTCCGTCCAGTTGTTGATATGTCCTTCTGCTTTTAACTGTTCAATATGCTCACTTGCCTCTCCCCTCAGTCGGAAGAGAGCCGCCTTATACGTGTTTTCCTCGGTCCATCCGGTGAAGGCTGCAGTTCGCTCCACCATGCGAATCCATTCTTCTAGATTCTGTTCGCCGTCGTAGGTGTCGATGTTTCCCACCATCCGAAGCTTGTCCATCCTGTCGACCGTGGCAGTCTGGAACAACCAGTTCAGTGTCAGCGGTCGTCGTCTCCTTTCTTTTCTTCACAGAGTCGTCTTCAGTATCTTCCTACAATGGGTTCGGCGGCTTGTGCCTGTTTACTAGCTTCACAGTGGATCGGAATAATCATTGTCCCACGTTGCCGGCGCCAATTTGTAGCACGGGTTCGTGTCTGGGTTTAGCCTTATGTAACACAGCATACGTGGAAGACAGCACGTAGAGTGAGTAGGGCGTGGTATTATCACTTGCATTGTTGAAGCAGATCATCCGGGGCCAGTAGCAGTTATAAATTACTTCGTCGAGACAGGCTACTTCTCCAAGGTAAAGTACAGTATAGTTCCGTAGACAGTCATTCACCCGGCATACAAATACATCTGATGGAAGATGCTTTTAAGTTGGAGGCTTGATTATTCGACCCATAGTATAGATTGGTTCACGAGTGTCACTTCACTGCTCGGATTAAGGATGGAGGGGTCCGATCAGCTGGGGTTGCGGCACAGTCGGAAGGTGATAGGACAGGGTATTCGGAGTCCCAACGACCACTGCCAAACATATGGGTGGTAATTAAATTAATCAATTGAATGTGGTCATTCGTCCAGTCACCGATTCCTATATTACTGGCCTCCCATTAACTAAAATGCCCACTTAAATCGTATTAGCGTTGCTATGTTTGATACCCTCGAGATTAATTAGCTCGACTGCCCTAACTGAGCTGTGCTCCGCTCCTATCGGCCTTAACCTATGCAGTCGCTCCTCACACACACACACACACACACACATCTACTCTGACCACATGCATTCATCACTCAGCCCCCGAATTTATTTGAGCACCCCTAAAAATCCCTCCGATAGTGTCAGGTGTCTGACTAATAACGATCTCCCCGGCGAGATAAATGTCTCTTATCCGAAATCCATGTGCATGCTACGCTAACCGGCGACAAGGATATTTATCGCAGGGCCGCCCAGAGTAAAGGTACAAATATCCACCCTATAAATTTGCGGGGTTCACTACACGTCCGATAGACTTATGGTACACACATGCGCGATTTACATCCGACTTATCTCTCTATCCGGGAGAGATTACCTATGCCCTCTTCCGGTCCGCGTGTAACACCTCCGTTCACGACCCAGGGACCCTAGTTCATATCCTGGAACTCTCCTTAAACCGTGGGATTTACTTTCAAGGCCTTACGTGTCCTGGAGTACATTATTCCCTCCCCTGAGGCTGTCCAGTACCGATTAGGGCACCTTTACAAAATAAGTATGAGGACTTATTCGGGACACTACGGCTTGCCTTGTTCGCCCTTTGGGTGACTTACCCCTGACCTTCGGCTTCTTGCCTTTGGCATAACTCCAACTTACTCTCCAACTGCACTGCGCCAATCTTCCCCTTCCCCCTGCCATAGAAACCTCTCACTGCCTCGTTACCCAGTGTTACCTAAGCGGGAAATCTAACAGTAGCCGGATACTACTGGCGGAAAACGTGCATATGCCCTGCATACGCGACGGTGTGTCCCTAATATCATTGCGGTCTGGACGTGATTCTATAGAAGTGCACCTCGTCTCACACAATCATGCTAGTAAACATTACACCATGGGAGGCGGCGAAGCAAGCCGTCTGCCTCAACATGCCCGGTATCGATATTCGGTGGCGTAGTAATTGGCTTGAACTCGTAATCGCATCACTCTCGACTCCGCTAGTTAGCGGTTCGTAATTCTGAGACCACTGTACCTCGTGTCCCATCTGTACATCTCACCTCGAACCTTAATTATGCAAGACTGCTCCCACCTAACCCTTGCGCGCTGATTCGTCGTTTGGCCGCGACCCGCTGCCCTACTAACAGCTGCCCGACCTGCCATCTGGTGGCTAGCGGCCTGAACCGTGGGCCGTCGATCTGTCGTCGGCCGGACCGCCGCGTTATGACTTCCGCTCGGCACTGACCGGCGAGGCGTCGCCGTCCATGAACTCAACGATACGACGGCTAATGAGGTGGCATTAATAAATTCTACCACGCGCTGAACGGTTGCGGGTTGTCCTGACAAGCTATCAAGTGTATTGGATTAGAGTTAGACTGTTGGCGTTGCATAATGTTGCCTTAGAATTGCGGACCCGAATTAGTACCCGGGAATTCGGTCGACAGCTCCCGTCAGCCCCTTAGCTCTCCGTATAAGGGAATAACCGGCGAAAGGGGTAGCCCCGTTGTTCCCAGAGTCGAGCAGCACCCCTCCATTAGAGGTGCAAATCGTCGGCGGCCGTTCTGTTAGATTAAGCACAATTCTGCGCGGGCTATGATCCTTTCCTGATGGTTAACCCAATTTGGTCACGCGTGTAGGTCCGATCAGTACCCTAGAAACCTATGTAACCTGCCGTCCTCACCCAGTTATCCACACCCGGGGTATGGTTCTGACGGAGTTGCATCTCAAGTCATTAGGCTCCGCGAATCACCGTGCGGCGCCCCAGGCGGTATTTAAAGGCTCCGGCACGCCCGCGGCATATTGTCATCATGTCTACCACGTCTGTGGAGGTTGTTTCGGAGGCAAGTCGGCCCGAGAGCCCGCCGGGGTCCGCGGCCGAGGTACCCCGAGAATTGTACAACGAGATCGTCCGCTTAAAGGACGACCTCCACGCGGCTGAGGTAAGAATTTCCTTTGCTCTACCCTGAGCAATTTGTATTACTGTGCTTATCGGACCGCTCGTTGTGATTACCTGATTCTTGAAAATACTACCCTGATGGGATGGTCAACGTATTTGATGAACGAGCATCCGTCCTTAATTGTTATCACATGGGGTGGCGAGATCAATTTATATTTGATTTGGTTTAATTTTAAAGGTGATAGATTTAACTTTTACTTATAAAAGCTAAATTTGGTGTCTATGCTAGCCTGTTATTAACGGTGGTGGTGGTTCCTTGCAGGGAAAGTTGGAGGTCGCCCGCCGGGACCTGGAGCGGGCCCACCGAAAAAACAAAGCCGTAGTCGCGAGGCTGCGGAAAATAATCTATGCCACCCAGACCGCACCGAGCTACGCCCGGCCGGGGTGGCTCGACCAAGAAATAGAGTGGGCCTTATTGGAGCTCTCTTGAGCCCTCAGGTAAGAATCTTTGTACGTCGGCTGTTTCCACTGGTTACTAGTGCTACCCAAGGTAATCTGACTATGATCACTTGAGCATCGTTAAAGTAATGTGAATTTTTATGACTACTTTATGCTTATCTTAATAGTTATATCCAGAAGGAAGACGTCACTGAACAAAGCTAGACCTGTGCCTTGACATCAGCATGGAAGTACAGTTTGACTACCTGCGAAAGAACTGAGGCGGTTCACCGAATACATAAGGGCCGTCACAACAAATTTCAAATAAGCTCCCAGTACTAGGTCAGTTATCTTAATTTTATCAAGTTTCACTCCCCACGAGGTCCTTGGTTCATAAGAGGAGAACACGGGGTTGAGATATCCGATCAACCTCTAACGACGATCTTTTCTTGTTCCAGATGCAACGACGCAGGACACCTCCGAATTCATCTCGCCGTCGCGATGAATGGTGGTTCTGTAGTGTGTGAACAAATTCTGGCTCGCTGTCTGTAAATACATGTGCCATTTTGTACCAATTCGTCTGTTAAGTACGCTATCACCAATGTAAAGGGTTTCTTTCAACGGAGACACGATCCGGCGGGTTCCGAATCCTGCAGAAGGCATGGCGATCAGACGACTGAGTGAGAGAACTAGTGACGTGTGTCCTATGTTGAGATCGGATGGAATTGTAGTAAACGCCGGAAAGTGCCATTACAACGCCTCACGCAGATCATCACTACGCTTTCATCCCCGTGTCTGTGTACGCACTTCCCATTCACGTTCCCTCCATATCATATCCTAACAGGAGTAATAAGTTTTCGCTGTGTATTCTACATCAAGCTCGCATGGCATTATCAGTGTTAGTCGCAAACTAAAGCACCACACTCACGAACATCGACCCACAAGCTTGGTGAGACGCATCGTGTACTTAACCTAGGAGCCAAAGAATCTATATACAATGCAGAGTACTGTTGTCATTGAGCAACAGACGTACATGTCACTCCAAGCTGCCGCGTCGGTTCTCTTGTGACCACTAAGCTGACAAGTTGACCTTAAGTACGGAAACACGACGCAACGAGCCATGAACCTTCCAATACATCGCTGCCCTTACTCGCTAGGATGTTACGCGCAACTATTGACCAATAATACGGAAAACACAACGCAACGAACCGTGAAATTTACACTACATCGCTGCCCTTACTTGTTAGGATGTTACGCGCAACTATTGACCTATAATACGGAAAACACAACGCAACGAACCGTGAAATTTACACTACATCGCTGCCCTTACTCGCTAGGATGTTACGCGCAACTATTGACCTATATTAGTGTTAATCATGAGCCTACGCACCCTACGGAGAAGCGCCATTCATTGTGTATCGGCCTATATCGCTCGCTGGAACATGCTCAAATTAGTTCGACTCATGACACCGCCAGTGAAAAATTGGTCGCACCGATACATGACCATTACGTCGCCAAACTGCCTCGAATCATTTAGTCAGAGTTCATTTTGCTGGCTGCGCAGTTTCAAATCTAAACCTGGCACACCGGACCTATTCGCAATCGTATACCGTACACAAACCGAGAGCGTAATTGCTGGCGCATGATTAACCTCTCATTATCAAACTGGACGTGTTCGCAATCATATACCAACTGAGAGCGTAATTGCTGGCCGCGCTTCGAAGTTCAAATCCTAATAGGCCACTAGGGTGTTTGGACGAATATGTTCGAAATAATTCAAGTTGTCTCTTTCTAATTGAGAGTGCATGATTGATAACTGAAAAATGTTGGGCAGTCGTCACGGGTAATGCAAGCTGGGCAGTGCGGAGGGGAAGGACCGGGAATTGAGCAGACTCTATATAACACTCACATTCTGGAGCGGCTGACGGCTGAGTCCTCAGTTCTGGTTGCTCGAACTGAAGAGGCTTCTCGCGCTGGCCCCGGGCTGACGGCTGCCTCTAGATGACGTCTCCGGCTCCGGCTGCAGACTGCCCTCCGGGGTGAATCGTGCACCTTTTATAGCTCGAGGGGCTGCCACGCCCTGAGCCGACCTCGGAGTCATTGCACCCAGGGTGTCTTTGTTACTCCCGTGCGTTTTCACTTGGCCGCTCACCATCTTCATATTGGGGGTTTTACCAGTCGGTTCATCGATGTGTAGGATATAAGAACATTGATAAAAGTGTGAATTAGCTCTGTCGTGCCGTTTCTTTATCCTCAACCACTTTCATTCTTTTATCGACTGCGTATCTGCCCGCAGCAGCCTGTCAGCCTTCTTTTCCTCTGGTTATCCAAATACCTCGGTAGCTAAACATCTTATCACATTCCATATAGGTAGCTCGTCGTTGTTTGCTTGAATTGGGTTGAATTCCATAACAGCTTTAGTTAGCCTCAACAGCGTTTCTTTGTTCCAGCCACTTACAATGTACTTAGGAGACGACACTTCGTATTTTAGCCTTCATCTTAGATTTTGGCGAATCGGTGTATTCCGTATTGCTGTTTCCGATACGACCATTGCGCTGAGCTGGTATAACTGTTTTCCCGACGTCCTCTTGCTTAGTCTCCAGGCTTGGGATTTGCAGACATTGTTCATGGCCGGCTGCTCCATTTTCTTGGTTGTATTTTGCTATTAACCTGACGGTGACTCTAGCCCTTGGAATTCAAGCCTGCATTTGTCACAAGCCCCATATTTGTCAGTCATTTCTCCCGCGGCTACTGTATGGGCTGATTACTTTAGGAGCCGTCCGATCTTCCGTCAAAATGGTTTTATCTCCCAGAATCATACATCCTTTGTTGTCAACCTTTCACGCGTCTGGATAGTGCTGCCCCCTTCGGTTGGCGGTAGCTCTGGCAACTAGTACCTTGGGCGTGTCCCCATCGTCAGCTGGCTAACACCCCCGCTTCGCTGCTGACCTTTGCCCGCCAGGCCTTGTGGTTGCGGGGTGTGGCCGTAGCGTGCTGCCTCTTCTATTCAGTGGCGAAATCTGGAACTACAGGTCATTGCTTGCTGCTGCTGTGCAGGTCACCTTCAAGGCGTTCTGCCGGGTCACTCACCCTGGGTTGTTGTACCCCGACAAAGGAGGCTGTGTGCTCCAGCCGGCATCCATCCTTTACACTGCTCCATGATCTGTTGACATATCTTGCTGATCCAGCGTTCCCAGCCGGTATCTGTTCTCGGCATGGGTCCACGAGCTGTTGACAATCTTACTGATCCAGCGTTCCCAGCCGGTATCTGTTCTCGGCATGGGTCCATGAGCTGTTGACAATCTTACTGATCCAGCTGTTACTTGTTTGAGTTCGAATCGTTCATCCTGCGGTAGCTGTCTCCAAAAGCGCGCGTCTTAATGGGAGTTTTACGGCTGCCCATTCTGTGCGGACAGTGATAGATTGGGGAAACGGGGGGGGGGATTGGGTGTGGGAAGGCGAGGCTAAGCGTGCGGCCGGTCGGTGAGGGGAACTGCCGAGCCGAGTCGACCCGTGACGGTCTGGCCCGGTGTGTTGAGTCTGAGGTGGAATTTTTAAAAGATGTAGCCTGCTACAAGGTCGCAAAATTGACCTGACCTTAGGTCATCGACATCAAAATTCTGAGATATACATTTTGTACATGTTATTGCACTTAGCAATCGCTGAAAGTTTCAAAGCGATCGGTCACTCGGTGTAGCTATGACAGACATTGGAACTTTTTATGAGGTGAGGTCACTTCAAGTGACCTGGTGACCTGACCTTGAATGACCTTGGTCTGAAATTTTCACAACATGTGTAGAATTGATGTATGATAAGGTGTACCAAAAACGGCGGCGCTCCGCGCCGCCGTTTTTGAGATATTTGCGAAAAACCACAAGGGGGGGTGTTCAAACACCCCCCCCAGCAGGGCGCGGGTTAAAGGGACACTCCCACCTTAACATTAGTTTTGAGTTGAGATAGCCAAATTGGTGGCCATGGCCTGCAAATACCGGTTTGGGCACTCACAACATCGAAAAATGCTTTAATTCGAAGATATGGAATTTCAAACTTGCAGTTTTCGGATTCTAAGGGGCTAATGCATTGGGATGCCCCCTTAGAATTTGTGACGTCAGCGGAGATCTAACGATTTTTAAATCTTAGACTAGAACCATCGTTAACACGTGGTGGTATACGCTGCTTTGCGCGCAACGTCTGCCGCACTTTAAGGCTGTCAAATTATTGCTTCCAAATAAAGTCGCTAGTAACAGGGGAGATCCCAAAAAGTAAACAAAAGTAAAAGCCTAATATCTTGGAAAGCAGTGAATATTTTTCGGTGAAATTTGGTAGATATTCGTTTTCGCTCTTTCTGAACCAAAGGACATCACTTTCATGCCAATTCATTAACTTTTTTGAAGGTGGGAGGGTCCCTTTAAGTGTCTCTTACCACAGGATCAGGGCCACCCATAAAACGTTGGTATATTATGGTTCGTGGCCATCCCTATGGCAGTACTTCATGCATATTGCAGTTTTGTGACCGTCTATCGTATTTATCACTGCCTATTTGTCGTGGCATACAGGGTGATTTTTTTTTTACTTGTTAAAAAGTAATGAGATCTAGTGGCATTAAAATATAAATATAAATTGCAAAATTATATACCAGGATGACAAGCATTCTGGGACATTTTGATTTCATACAGACACGATGTGAAGGAACGTCCATCGTGTATTTTACTTGTGCTTGAAGTTGCCCCCTCTCTCACCGACACGAATCAGCCTGCCTGAGCACGTGTTGAACAGCACCGTGGACTCCTAGACCCTTTAGGCGGACTGAAAAGGCTCCTATCACCCATTTTTAGCTCTGCCAGATATTTCCAATGTTTTCTTGTTATATCTGCCATAGCTGGGTCCAAAAACTAGAAGTCTATGGAGGGCAGGTCGAGGATTTCGATACTGGCGGCCCTGGTGGTGTCTGATTCGCTGTTTTTCTTTCTCCCTGAAGACTGATTCTTCAGAGGCTGCACATACGCCAGATGGACCGGTTGAAGGTTATTTATGACTACAAGCTTGTTCGTGCATTATTTAACGTCTTTCTGGGATATCTCCTCGATGATCGCATGCTTCGAACTGCCTCAATGCTTCAAAATCATCGTTTGGTGTCGTTCCTTACTGAACGGCGGTGGACCATGCGTGCCCGATTGGTGGGACATTTCCAGGCACCATTGGGGCCGAGGCCTTCGGTTAAAAGGGACAAATCATGACACCATACAAAAAGTCCCAGATTTATCTATCACGTGCATTGCTTTTTTGCACGCGATTTTTCGATTTAGGGACCACTATCGACATTTACTTTTTAACCCGCGAGTTGCTGGGGGGGGGGGCCTTAAACGCCCCCACTTTTTTCGCCGGGCCATAGCATAAAAACGGCGCGCCGCAGGCGCGCCAAATTTTGGGTACCTGTAGGGAATTGATTGAAGTTTATTGTGACAAAGTTTCAAAAAATCGGTCTGAAAATTTTTGAGATATCGAGGTTTTAGTGACGTCATGATTTCTGAGTTTTCGACCAAAAACGGCATATGTTCAAAAAATCATATAAAATCACAGAATAGACATACAGACATGCCGTAAACGCCATTAGACTGCCAATACCATGGAAAATCAAATGGCTATCTTCGATTATTGATTATCGTTCCGCATTTTCCAAAATCTTGAACTGAATCTTGGCAATTTCTCGTGACTACTTCACGACCATGATACATGAATTTCTTAAATTGAACTTTTTTAGCCAAACACGTACACATATGATAAAATGAATGTCACCATCGTGTTCTACGCCCCAAATTACCCATAAAACATGCGTCACAGGCTGCGAATATCAGTTTTTATTTTCGGGGATATGTGCCTGCCCGGTTGACCTGACCTTGACCCTGACCTATGCTTGACTGACCCCTGCATGGAGCTGACACTCTTGTAGGCCTTATATGATGGATTGTGCACCGTTTTGACAGAGTTTATGACGAGAGGCGCCCATTGCGAAGTCCTGAAGTCCATGCTACTGAAAGCCCGATTTCAGGTGTTTGACCTGACCTTGACCTGACCTGTGACCTCAAAATTCAACTTAAAAGTATTCATCTGAAGCGTCTCGTCGCGTTCTTTCGTTTGCCGCCTCGTGCGTTTCGCTGCGCCTATTGGTTCTCGAGTTATCGGCTGGGGGCGTTTAACGCCCCCCCCCCCCCAGCAAACGGTGGGTGGCGAAATACCCCAGCAACTGCCGGGTTAACAGTTAAAAAAATCACCCTGTATATTCTGACCGTCTATTTGACGTGTTATATTATGTAACCGTCTACATCACGTGGTGTGTGTGGCCGTCTATTTGGCGTGTTGTATGTAACCGTTTATTCATCGTGCTATGTACTACCGTCCTACGTGGTATACATTATCGTCCTATTTGCCGCAATATGTGAGACCGTCTTTTTGTTGTGGTGTACTGTGACTGTCTATTTGACGTGATAAAGGTGACCGTGTTTTTGCAGTTCTGTGTGGGACAGTCTATTTATTGTGGAATGTGTGACCGTCTATTTGTCATAATAAATGTAGCATTTTATTTATCGTGCTACGTGTGACCGTCAATGTTTCGTATTATAGGTGACCGTCTATTTGACATGGTATGTACATATGACCGTCTATTTATCATGATTTACATGTGACTGTCTATTTATGTTCAACCCTCCCCCCCCTCTGGCTAATATCAAGGAAGAAGGTGTTTTTGTGTCGGTAATTCTCTCTCTCTCTCTCTCTCTCTCTCTCTCTTCCCTCTCCCTCCAAGCCGCCCTCCCTCTTCCCATTCACATCACTCTTAATTTGACTTTATTTCTCATCTCATCAGGTTCATCTGACTGGAGACCCCCTCTCCGGCCCCCTTCAGAGATCGACTCCCAGAAATTAACACCAACCTGACCACTGGAGGAGCTCCTGTCCTGCTGGCACCGCCGGCGGTCGCCGTGCTTCCAGCGCTGATCGTTACGTGAGTTTATCTTGTCGGCTTTGCGGGGGATCGGCAGTCTTCAGTTGCCTCCTATTTTCGGTCCTTTTCAGTACGTTTCTTTGCTTTTCATGATGATCACTAGAGTCGTGCCGAAAAAATCATCGTACCAATCATGCAGACATTGAACATTTTTATGTCCCTACTTCGTGCAATTCATTCTAACTGTTCTCTACCCTCTCCCTCCAGTCGATCTGCTATGTAGTGTTTACCGCCCAAAAGACTTTTCTGACGGCTCCCGCTCCCTCTGTTTGCCGTCAGGTGCTGGTGGCGCGCCGTCTGGTACAGTCCGGCGCGCGGATCGACCTACAGAACGAGGCGGAACGCTCGCCGCTGCAGATGGCGCCACCGGGGCTGGCGAGCGACCTCCAGTGGTGGCGCCGCCCTCGGTGCTGTTCACCACTGGCGCAGATGGCAGCACCGTCGCCCACAAGGCTCGACTGTCAGTGCGCGTATTTCGAACTGACGGACCTCTGTTCCTTGCTTCTGATCCAGAACAGTGTCGTTCTGGGCCAGTCAGCGTTTATAACTACGACTTGACTTGCGTAGAATTTGATGCTGTGATGCTACCAAAAGACTTACCGTCGCGGATTCGTCGGCAACAGGTTCTCAATAACGACCGACTAGCGATCTTAGTGGCGTAGCTCGCCTCTTCTCAATCAGTGAACGTGTTTTCTGTATCGCTCACTCATTGATTGTATGGGGTCGTATATCTCTTCCGTTGCACGTTCGCTGCATAGCTGCACCTCGCCGACTGTTTGTGACGTGTCTTTCATTGGCTGCTGGTCGTGGCGATGACTTACGTCGCCCTGTGGCTCATCTCAAGCTGGTGTGGCGTTTGAACGGCTACCTGTCAATGTCGTATGTGGACATCGCCGGATGTGGACATCGCCGGTGCCATGTCGTTGCTGTCACCACCATATCGTCCTTTGCGCGAAGGTTGAGACATTCGCTTCATGTTGATGTGACGCGTGTCGTTGTTCGTTGTTTGGCATTCGATCACTGGTAGAGTTACGATGTAAAGTGAGTTTTTTTTTGCGACTCGGACTTGCGTGCACCTGATGTTTCCCGTGTGCGTGTGCCACCAGTCATTGTAAGCGCTGAAAAAACTGATAGTAAGACAATGTCGTAAGATTTGTCGCCTTTATCTACATTGATGACGTGATGTTGGTACCTCGGCCGTTCCCTTGGACCTGCGAAGCGTGAGCTAGCAGCTGACACAAAGATTGTTGAATGTTGGCGAATAAAGATCGAAAATCCATGGAATGTGTGGTATGATGTGGTCCGAACACGATGCGAAGGGAAGAAGTCGTGTGACGCTCAATGGCGACGCAAGAACGGATCTCGTGTGGCTGAACAAGTGTCTCGACTTGCAAAACGGGAGAAAAATGGGGTTGCTCGAAGGAATCACACTAAATATGCCATTACCTGCGGCTGGAGTAAGTCTCCGTTCTCGAAATCGAGCCCGGTCGGTCGGTCGGTAAGGCATTCGCCACGAAAGAAAGTGGGTGGAGCCTAAATGGCCGTAAAACTGAGATCGGCATAATCCACTTTCAGGTGCCCCAACGGGTTTACCCTGGTGGCCGAGTGGATAGCGTGACGTCAGCGTGCATTTTAGACTTTCGAAGGTTTTGGGTTCGAGACCCGGAATCGCCTGATTACGATAATTTTTTCCGCTCTTAATGGGCCTCGAACCCAAAACCTTCGAAAGTCTAAAATGCACGCTGACGTCACGCTATCCACTCGGCCACCAGGGTAAACCCGGTGGGGCACCTGGAAGTGCCTTATGCCGATCTCAGTTTAGGCCCATTTAGGCCCCGCCCACTTCTCTCTATCGTCAGCCCAGCCTGTGTGACGTCACATCCAATGCTGCTGTCGACTGTTTGGCTCTGTACGCGGGTCTCTCAGTCTCCCTGAACCGTCCGACTATCAGTGAAAGGAGTTCCCACGCGACTTCCAGGACACGGCTACTGTCTAGCACTCAAAGACACGTCGTTGGAGCCGTACTTCGGATTTTATTGAGACCTTTACAAAATTATGAATATACAATAAACACAGTAATTGTTCTTCATAAGAGGGCGGGGCATCTTCAGATGAAAGTCGACCAGCTATGAAGCTTGGGGGGGGGGATGATCTGCCTCGGGCCGGGTCCGATTGATGAGTGCTGCCCCGCCGGGTGGCGGACGGGGCGGCGCCGGCGGCAGTCGGCCCCTGGCAGCTAGACCGGCCCGCCAAGCCGATTAACCCCGGTGATGATCTCTGATGGCCGCGGGCGGTGACAGCCGCCAATCTTGACCGTCTGGGAGCGAATGGAGATCGGTAAGGGGTGGGCACGCTAGGGGGCGGGGGCGGGGGAAGGACAAGAGAGGGAGCTGGAGGGTGCCACGGACTGACGAAATCATAACAACAGAATAGGGGCAGGGGAGGGGCTGTGGCGCTGTTACAAAGGGGATGGGGCATACCTGGCGCTACGAGAACTTTGAAACAACCGGATGCAGAAGCGACATGACATCACATGACAACTTACAGTTTACACGTTGACAAATATAACGCTGCGAGCAGCATGAAAACACGCACAAACCGTTCGCAGCGCCAGATTGAGATACTGATACAAGCATGACAAAGGTGACAGACACATAACCGAACCACTCTCCGGGGGTCCTCCCTTCTCTCTCTCTCTCTCTCTCTCTCTCTCTCTCTCTCTCTCTCTCTCTCTCTCTCTCTCTCTCTCTCTCTCTCTCTCTCTCTCTCTCTCTCTCTCTCTCTCTCTCTCTCTCTCTCTCTCTCTCTCTCTTCGCCTAATTCATGACACTCGAGTCACTGGATAAATCGCCGATGCTGGAACGTCACTGAAGCCAGCCTCTTCACTCCAAAATGCAGCATCACAGCTCATAATTCACCGATAACTCACCGATAATTGCTCCCAGCTCCTTGCACATTGCACAATGCATAACCTTCATCTCACTGTTCCTGCCGCTCTCACAGTCACAAATAATCAACTGTAAGTCCTTCAATATCCTACAAATCGCCTGGAAATGCTTTATTGTTTGCAAATACCCGGTGACAACCAGCTGATTAGATATGCAGAGACACCCATCGGCGGCATTTAGAACCTTAAGCTCATGCAAGCAGCGCCACCTATGCCCCTAACTGCCGAGCCCGATTTCCATTAGCTGCCCATAACACAGGCCACGGCCGGCGCGCTATACAACTAGTGACATCTAGCGGTGGCATCTGTCGCTACTGCCTGGTGCCTGTGTTATGTGCAGCTCGTGGATTCGAGGTTGGGCGGTTTGGGTCATAGGTGGCAGCACTTGCGGATAACTAAGGGTTCAACGTATGGACACCAGGTGGCACAGGCAGTGTAAGCTCGTTTAGGGCCTACGTTACACTACAGGGCCGTGCTGCTGTTGTGCAGAACAATTTTTTTTTTGTTCAACTAAATGGCCAAACGGGTAACGCCACGGCTAGGGAGCGATAACAATCCTAGCAAGCGTACGTTCTACGTTGCATTCGACATCGGTATCAACGGTAAATATTTGGTACCTTTGGCAGGGAGCATTGATGCAATTAGTCACACTTTTAGATTGCTTTTTTTCTTCTTCACGAATGACTGTTTTACTCGTTGTCATGTCTGTTGTGCACGGTATCAGCCTCAAACACCGAATGATCCCGCTGGTCTCGAAAGATATCCCCGATTATCCGCCAATGTCGAACGCACGCATATGGCCGCGAACTATCTTATCAGTGCCGCGGGAGATATTGCATGAGGTATTTCGCATCGCCTGGCGTATATCCTTCTTTCTATTGCTAGTTTACCGTCTCTCTCAGGCATAAGACCCTCTACAGTTTATATCATCAAGTCTCTCGAGCTTTTTTAACCCGCGCACCGACGGGGGTCTGCGCCAACTTCGCACCGACGGGGGGGCGGATGACCGCCCCCCTGAGATGTCGAGAACGAAGCAAGATAGCGACAAGCGGCATCGGATACGCACGGTCAAGATCTATAATTTTTACTAAGGTCATTTTCAGGTCAGGTCAAAGATGACGTCACAGGGGTCGAGAAAATCAAACTGTTCTACCGCAGTCAAATGAACACAGCCTACAAAACGGAAGAGAGGGTCATCCGAGATCTCATCTTGACTAACGTCAAGCCGACAGACCAGGCGAAGAAAGTGACACTCATCATATATTACAACACGAGGAAAACCGCAGATCTCGTCATGGTCAACAACATGTTCAAGAAGAAGACACGAGACAAGGACAACATACACTTACAGCAAGCCAATGTAATTTATCAATTCAGTTGCCCCGAAGAAGGTTGTAGACTTCTCAACAAAGATAAATACATTGGCGCGACTACCATTTCCCTGTCCAGACGACTTACAATGCATAAACAACAAGGCGCACTGAAGAATCACATGCACAAAGAACATGACAAGGACATCACACGACAAATTTTGGTGGACAATACCGAAATACTGTGCTCTACCCATGACCAGCGAAGACTGTGGGTGTTGGAGGCGCTGTACATCCGTGAGTACTCGCCTCACATCAACAAGCAGCTCTACAAGTCGGGGTGCACGACACTCACGCTTTGGAGCTGAACAATGCGATGGACATTAGTGATATCGGATTTAGGAGGGCTATATGACGTTTAGGGTATCTATGTATCTGTGCATAGAAGGGTGTCATATTACCAAAATGTGTCATGTGTCATGCATCCAAGTGTGGAACGATGTAGGTATATTAGTTAGTGTGTTTACTGAATGTGACGACTGCAAGAGGCCTTAGCAATTTATCACGCACAATATGTATTTAGTTTTTTTTTCTCCCTTCCATTCTAATAGCAAACTTAGGCTCTGTGCTTTTACAATTTAACCTTGTGATCATGTAGATGTAGATGTCTTCGAAAGCTTAAGGAATTTAATTTTGTATACATGTTATGTCTGAAACCTTTGCCAATATAATCGGACAATTATCAACATCTCTCAAGAAAACGATCCGAAAATACGAACACACAAATCGGAAGCTCATAAAAGCAGAATTCGCACTACGGTTCAATGAACAATGTCTAAACGAAGATACATATATATATATATATATATATATATATATATATATATATATATATATATATATATATATATATATATATATATATATATATATATATATATATATATATATATATATATAAAGTTAGAGCTCAGCACAATGACCTCAATAAGCCTTCTATAGGTCAATGGCTCAGCACTACAACAAGGTCAGCTCCGGAGCTACGCAAAGTTGTGAATGCTATTGTTATCTCTACTTGTTGCTTGCTAGCCACTTTCACAAGTCTTCAACATATTCTTTAAAAAAAAGAAATACTTTGCAGTGTTTTGACTGGTGCTAGGCACAGCAGTCACAGCATAATGAAAGGCTGAATAGGTAAATCATATCTCTGCTTGTTGCTTGTTAGCAACTTTCACAAGCCTTCGACATATTCTTAAAAAAAGAGAAATACTTTGAGGTGTTTTGACTGGTGCTAGACACAGCAGTCAGTAGTCACAACTCACAACATAATGAAAGGCTGAATAAATAAGGCAGCGAACGTTCAACGACGCACGCTGTAACTGGTAGGCAGTCAGTCTCAGTCTCTATACCGTCCTACCGTCGAATTTCATACGTACCGTCTCTACCGTCTCTACCGCCGGCACGTGCCGTCTCTACTAGCGACACGTACCGTCTCTGCCGTCTCCGGTAGCCAGTGAAGAGGGGTCGGCCAGCTCCGGTCTGCGGCCGGTGAACCACGACACCAGCTTCTGCAGTTGAGACGTCGACTCGGGAACAATGACAGGAAATCTACCACTTTCCCCAAATGAGTTTTTTTATACCTTCAGTTTGACTATTTTTATGCTGAAAATGATCGGAAGAGAAAACAATAGAAATGAATATTTTTTTAACCTTTTCTCATAGAATAACTATATGTAATGTACTGAAGCGGCTAAATAGAGGTGGCACTGAAGCTGTATATTGCGTAATTAAAAAAGACTGCATGCTGATTGGATGAGTTGAGCCTCAGCGAGACAGCGACAGTTGCCTGCTTTGTCAGCATTTTTCTATACAAGGCACCACATTCTTCTACAAGGCACTCTTTTCGGAATGAGAAATATAATATCTTTGCCTATAGGGTGATGGTTGTGTGGCGTAAAAGCTCCTGAATTGTGCTGGCCTCAGCTCAAGCTACGAATCTGCTATTCCAGTTCAAAACTCTGTGAACTGATGAAAGTAGCATATAACCCTTAACACAGCATCAGCTGGGGAGGGAGGGGGACGGTCACAAACACAAACATAAACACAAACACAAACACAAACATAAACACAAACACAGACACAAATGGCATGTGTCTGAAATTTTAACAACATTTTCAGAAAAGATGCATGAACAGGTGCGCAAAACTTGGGTTTGTAAGAGATTTTGAGATAGCTGAGAATCACTGAGGGGGGGGGGGAGTACAACCCTCCGGGCCCGGCGCAGGCAAAGATGAAATCCCTGACCATAGACATAGATGCAGTTTCGACTGACCACACGTGACAGCTGTTCCCATATCTCGACATTTACGATCCAAATGCCGCAAGGAACAAACTACGGGAGGACAATGGATGCTAAATCACCCCCCACTACCAGCTTTAGGCGTTAGTAGCATCGACTTATTATCCCGCGCCCGGCTGGGGGTCCTGGATTTCCACGCCCTGCTGGGGGGGGGGGGGGGGTGTTTGAACACCCCCCTTCTAACTCGGCTCCTGGGCCACGTAGCGATACGCGGAAGGCGGCATTCGAAAGAGCGTCAAAAATAATGAGGAAATCACTCGTCAATTTTTTGGTCAGGTCAAAGGTCAGGTCACCAGAGGTCATTGAAGGCAAAATTTCGCCGATTTCCAGGTCGAATGTCGACAATTTCCAAGAAGCCAACGCATAACTCGGGAACCAATAGAGCGCCGCGGAAAAGCGCATTCGATAGCCCTATTAGCGCCCTTTCTGTGTAATTTTCTCAGATTTGACCTAACGTCAACGGGTTTGCCTGCAGGGGGCAAAAACTGCAAAAATAGACGATTTTTTCGGAAACAGTTTTTCTGCAATAACTTTTGACCAAAGCCTTATACGAGCTTACTTTTACCGGCATCGTGTTCCTCTCGTCAAGACGCATCGAATGAACTATAACTTGACCTTGAAAGGTCAACTTGAAAATTTGACCTCAGGTCAAGGTCATGACCTGACCGGAAAGGGTCATGTTGCATATCAGTCGATCCGTATCGTCGAGCTGAACACACCTAATGCGTTTTCATCGCTCTAGCATGTGTCTATCAAAAGTTATTTGCGAAAAACTGTTAGATACCATTCGTGACCTAAGATGACCTCAGGGCATAAACAGGGGTCACGGACACCATTTTCCTGTTCAGTGTGTCTAAACCACTTGTAATTCAGTGTTTGGGAGTGTTTATAATGTCTTTCGTCCAAAAGAGGCGCATTTCAATTTTCTCCCATTGACCCTCGCCCTGGCAGGGCATTTTTCATAACACGGCCTGGCAGGGGGGGGGGGTCGATGCGACCCCCCCCCCTCGCGATTGGCTCCTATGGCACCTAGAAACACCAAATTTGGTAGATAGGTGGGCCCCCTGGAGTTCTCCAACCTGTGCAAATTTGGTTGCTCTAGGTCAATATTTAGGGGGGTTTTGGGGGGTATAAATGTAAAAATTTCGCGAAAAACAGGTCAAAAGTTTTTCGCTTATAACTTTTGATCTAATTAAGATAGAGCAAAAATAAAAGAACCAGTGAACTCAGCACGTCAAGGCGCGTCGAATGATATACTTTTTAGCTTGCTTAAGTGTACTTAAAGTTTTTCTTAAATTTTTAAGTAAACTTAAATTTATAAATTATGTTCAAGTTAATCAAATTGCATCATATCGCATATCATTCGATTTGGCTGATCACCAGGAACACAATGATACCATTTTGTAAGCTCTAGCGTCATTATGTGCCAAGTTATTGGCAAAAACGTCATTTGACCTCAGTTGACCTCATTT